TTTTATCATTTAAGATCATAAAAAAGTTTTGAAACTTTGATCCATAATTTTTCTTATGGTCAGAAAGTCGGTGGTTTATACAAATCCCACCATAATTGCTTTGAATAATTTTTAATATAGGAAAAAACACGAGAACGTTCGTTCCCATTCTTCTTTACCCTACTTTTGCAGTTTGGAATTCTTTTATGCTCTTACTTAACTCTCATTGAGATGCTAAATATCGCATAAGATCAAAATCTTCCCACAAGTAGAATACAAAAAAAAAAAAAAAAAAATCCTAATACGGCTCGTGAACTCAAAGTCTTGCATATAGTTCTTGTTCTGTTCTTTACTCTGTCTTCATCTACTTACAACTCCAATGGCAACTGGACCGATCTGCAACTAACAACTCCATTGGTGACACCAATTTAACGAACACCAAGAATCATTCTGATACGAGCCAAAGATTTGTCTTTTATCTCGTAACCGTTACGTTTGTTAGCGTGAGAAATAAGAATGAGATTTAAGCTAAGCTTCCTTTTAAGGTTTATTCTTGGAAGTTGATTCCTTATTTAATCATAACCCTAATGCATAAAAAAAAACACTTTTAACATAAAAAGGAAAATATGAAAACCAATTTCATAAAATAAAACACCAAAACTAATTAATTAGAACGTCCTAACCATGGCCTAATCAACCTAACCATAGTCTCATATCACATTCCTCCGGTTTAACTTTCAACAACAAATCCATTTCCATCAAGAATTCGTCTTTCTGCTTCCATTTCCTCTTTGGAATAGTCCCTGAGCAAAAACTGATAAATTGATGAGAGCAAAAACTGATAAATTGATGAGAGTAAAAACACAAAAAGTGTTTAGAAAGAATTATAATTAGACTCTCATAAGATTCATGTTCTAAAATACATCGATATATATAGAGAAAGACTAAACCTAATTTCCTAAATTAAGATAAAGATAAATGTAAAATATACTTTAGAGATAAATGTAAATATTCCAAACTAATATATGATAATCTTCTAGATCCTTCTTGATCTTCATGATTTCCTTATTCTTGGGCTTCTCATCTCGACCGTCGATCTCGGTCGATCTCCTGTTCCCCAATACCCCTGGCAAGCTCATACGTGGTAACACGAGTGAGATTGGACAAATCATCAGAATAACGGCTTTATACCCGGCCGTCGGGTCATCATCGACGTTTATACCCGGTCGTAGGGTCAAAGCGGCTACAAAACCCAGCCGTTAGGTCATCGATGTTTATACCCGATCGTAGGGTTTAATGCGGCTACAATACCCAGCCGTTAGGTCATCGACGTTTATACCCGATCGTAGGGTCATCAACGGTGGAAAATACATCTTTCGTAGTTGTGTATCTCCATCGGTTTTAGATCACAAGTTTTGGTCGCTCTTCGAACTTCTTGTTCATGAAGAAACTTGTGTCGGATTCAAATACCTCCGGATCAGCATCGTATCCGTCGGAATAATCTTCATGCCAAACTTTATTGTTTGTTCATGCCATCTTTGTAGTGGTGGTGACATCAACAAACCAACATCGCCTTCTTTCTTCTTTCTTTTTTTTTTTTTTTTTTTTTAACGGAACTAGCAAACTTGCTAGCCAAATATGAATCAAACGAGGCCAAACAATTGACCAAACCAACAACACGAATCACTAAGAGGATCACGTACGTAACTCTTCTTTTTTTTTTTTTTTTTTTTTTTTTAGTTTTAGTAGTAGCAGAAGCAAACAAAACCTTAAGCCATAGGAATAAGATCAAAGCTCTGATACCATGATAAATTATAATTATACTCTCATAAGATTCATGTTCTAAAATACATCGATATATATAGAGAAAGACTAAACCTAATTTCCTAAATTAAGATAAAGATAAATGTAAAATATATTTTAGAGATAAATGTAAATATTCCAAACTAATATATGATAATCTTCTAGTTCCTTCTTGATCTTCATGATTTCCTTTTTCTTGGGCTTATCTCGACCGTCGTCGATCTCGGTCGATCTCCTGTTCCCCAATAAAAACAGTCCGGTTCACCCGGCATGTCTTCCGGCATCTCTCCTACGGTAGGCCTTTCAGGAGCTTCCTCAGATCAGTACCTCGGATTATTCAATGAAACAAGCAACGGTAAAACATGAAATCACGTGATAGCTATCGAGTTAGATATACAAAAAGACGAAGAGTTTGGAGATATTGATGATAATCATGTTGGGATTAACATTAATGGTTTGGCATCTGTTGTCTCTGCTTCTGCTGGTTACTATGATGATAAAGGTGGAAATTTTAACAAACTTTCCTTGATCAGCACAAAGGTAATGAGGCTTTCGATACTTTATAGTCAACCTTGATCAGCACAAACTGTCTTTGAATCGAGATCTCTCCCCGTATTTTTTGGAGGAGATGTATTATGGCTACACAGCATCGACAAGATCGGTTTCGTCTTTTATTGGAGGCACAAGAAGGTTAAAGAGGTTCTTGAAGAATGGGAGATTCAATATGGACCTCATAGGTTTGCTTATAAGGAGCTTTTCAATGCCACAAAGGGTTTCAAGGAGAAACAACTTCTTGGAAGAGGAGGCTTTGGTCAAGTCTATAAAGGAACACTTCCGGGATGAGCGAGTTTCTAGCCGAGATTTCAACCATTGGTCGTCTCAGACATCCAAATCTAGTCAGGCTTTTGGGATATTGTAAGCAGAAAGAGAATCTCTACTTAGTGTATGACTATATGCCTAATGGAAGCCTTGACAAGTATCTAAACCGGAATGAGAATCAAGAAAGGCTGACTTGGGAACAACGTTTCAAGATCATCAAAGACGTTGCATCTGCTCTACTGCACCTGCATCAAGAATGGGCACAAGTCATCATTCATAGAGATATCAAACCGGCTAATGTTCTCATCGACCACGATATGAATGCGAGGCTCGGGGATTTCCGACTGGCGAAGCTGTATGATCAGGGATTTGATCCTCAGACATCGAGAGTAGCGGGAACATTAGGGTATATCGCACCAGAGTTTATTAGAACAGGAAGAGCGACTACAAGCACTGATGTTTACGCATTTGGGTTGGTAATGCTTGAAATAGTTTGTGGTAGAAGGTTGATAGACCGACGTGCAGAGGAAAATGAAGAAGTACTTGTGGATTGGATCTTAGAGCTTTGGGAACATGGGAACATTTTCGATGCGGCAGAGGAAAGTACACGTCAAGAACAAAACAGGGGAGAGATTGAGCTGGTTTTGAAGCTAGGGGTGTTGTGTGCGCATCAATCTGAATCAATAAGACCGGATATGAGTGTGGGTTATGCGGATCTTGAATGGTGTTGTGCAGCTTCCAGATAATCTTCTTGATGTAGTAAGAGATGAGATATTGAAAGGGCGTCCTGAGACATCAATGGAAATACTATTTGATGTGAATTCAATTGCTACATTGACGTTTACAAATTCTTTCATCTCCCATGGGAGATGAAACCCGAAAGAAGAATCTTACACACACAAAACATAGTTTTTTATGCACATGTATGATGTATCTTCATTAGTCTATAGATTCAATAGCTTGCTCTGTTTCGTCCATTTGATAAATCAAGAAATTAGGGTTTTCTTTATTGTGCAAATACAAATTAGGGTTTCTTATTGGTTCCTACATAAATCAGTAAATCTTTAATTTTATCTCCAAATTAGATTTTTATGTTCTTGTTTCTTTAATATCAAGGGCTTTACTTTTGGGTTCTAACATGCTTTTTCTTTGTTGCTTTCGAAGTTTTGTTGTTCGAGTTTGTAGATCCATAACAAAAACAAATTGCATCTTGGCCTTCCACAAGAGCATAACCGACACAAGAAACCCCCAGACGATTGCATTCATTTGTCTGCTCTTAGGACAGAATCAGAGGCCAAGATTATCAAAGTAGCTTAACTCGTTAGCTTCTTTTTTTTTTTTTTTTTTTTTGGTGCATGGAGATTAGTGTATGTGTTTAAACCAGAAAGATTCCCTTTTCCTGTTTATAATAATATTGATATCTTGCTCACCAAACCCCTCCGACCAAAGACTGTTAGGCAATAAAGGTGTTTTTGAGTTATATATCTAATTAAAGTATAAACATATAGCACAATGTGCAAACCATGTATATTACTTTTTGTTTAGTCTCCAATAATTGGTTTATAGATGCAACACTTAGAAATGACTTGGTAAGATTCCGTATTGATAAAGACACCCAGAAATCATCTCCAACACCTACACCTACAATGCTATATCACGTACACAGTGGTCCAATACTTAAACCATCAGAAGTGGCGGCAAAGCTGACTATACGTTTTATATTATGCTTGATGAAATAAAACTTTATTAATAAGCCCAATGATGAAGCAAGCACATGCCTAAATCCCACTAACTCTCATCTCTGTCTTAGTTCATTAGTCAAGAACTTTGAACTTTTAAAACTAATAATTTTATGTCTTAACTTAAAAGGGTTTTCTTAATTGAAGCATGCAAAGCATTAAACAATAAATTAAACGCTCTTAGTCAATATTCTACTCCTTTTTTCCTCTAGACCACTACAATAATATACATGACCATATCAACTCAACTACTCTAAATATTATTAGGGATAATATTATCCCACATTGGAAAGGACAAGAGATCTTGATTAGTATATAAGATATATGGGCCTCTCCACTCATTGCCAATTGGTTTTGAGTTGGAAGCCCATATTTTAATATGGTATCAGAGCCCGATCCGTACATGTCCAAATCCAATCCACCATCGGCCCGGCCCAATAGTTGGCCCGCCGATCCATGCCCGAGCATACCGAGATCAATGGCTAGAGCCATCATCTCGAGGGGGCGTATTAGGGATAATATTATCCCACATTGGAAAGGACAAGAGATCTTGATTAGTATATAAGATATATGGGCCTCTCCACTCATTGCCAATTGGTTTTGAGTTGGAAGCCCATATTCTAATAAATATTTCGTTCGGATCTGTTCCACATATATGAAAACCTGATATAGCTAGGTACGTACGGGACATGTTTGAATCCAAAAATATCAAACATCAAAGAGGTTTGAAATACATCTTTTACTTATAGCTAGGTCGAAGTTGTTCATAAAGGCAATATTCTAAAAATAAAAATAAAATTGTCGACAATATACTAAAATGAATAATACGTATTTGTATAAGAGCGAGGGGATAAAGTTTTACGATATAAAAGGAAACAATTTTAGTTCAAGATTCCTTAATGACATTGGATACAATCAAATGAATTGCTTATATTATCAAATTTGGGGTCAATAAACGCAGACATAAACATTTCACTTTTGTTCATCCAAAACTTCTTTCATCAAGCACGAAAAAAAACAATAATCTCAGAAATCTATAAGATTAGGTTTGTCGTCTAAAACATTAAAGGTGGAGAAAGAAAACTAATAGTCGAATATCCAAAACTTATAAGAACCAATGGACGTTAACAACTTACCGATATATATTTTAATAACTTACATTATTTACGGCATTATTCACGAGTTCTTGGATATTTTATTCTTTTGTTTTCGGGCACCGTCACACACGAACACAACCATATGTTAAGTATTTATAAATTAATACTAGATCATCACCCGTACTACAGTACGGGTTGAATTTCATTTATTACAAAATTTATAAATTTTATGTTTTAGAATAAAGTTGTGATATATTATAATAGTAAATAAAAATAATAATATTTTTTTGTCAGTCCCTATATAAAATATTAGAATAAATATATTTTCCTTTTTCTATAGTATTCAATTATGGATATTTTTTTTAAGATATGAAAACGGAAAATAAGATTATTTTTTAAAAAACTTAATATTGTTTGAACAATGAGTTAATTTATGTTAACAACCACAAAATGAGAGTGCATATAATTTAGTTAGATCAAAAATCAAAATATCATAAATGAATCGCATCTAAAACGTAGATTATTTTGAATTACTTAAGAAAATTAGCTATTATTTTGAATTAATTTAGGAAATTATTTTTTCAAATTCTGATTCATTGGTTGTTGAAATAGAGATTTGTTTGAGCTAATTACGGAATTTACCAATTATTCACATAATCAAATATGTTATGAACATATATTTGGTATATAATAATACCAAATTCAATCCGTGTGTCGAGTCTATATTTTTATTTTACAATTCGTATGAAAATATTGCGGCACAATCTATTATTTATTATTTTCAAAATTGCTTGCAGAATCAAATTTTCAAATATTTAGAAGTGTCAAACCTTATTTAACTCATCTCATCATAAAATCTTAAAATGCCGTCTGTTATAAGGATCATAACTTTCTACCATATAATACATTACATTTAACCTGCCGCCTACTATAAATATTTAAACATATCTTTTTAGAAAATTAAATTAATGTATTTATAATTTATTTTATCTTTTTTAATTTATTAAATATTTATGATATTCTTTAATATATTAAATTAAACTATTTTAAAATGTTCCAAATTAAAATCTTTAAAACTTTTATTGTATTATGTAAAATTATGAATTTAAAAAAAATGATATGAAATTAAATATAAATATTCAAATAGTTATAAGGATCATAACTCATTTCATCATATAATATATTATATTCAACCCGCCGCCTATTATAAATATTTGTTTCAAAAAATCAAATTAGAGTATTTATACTTCATAAATTTTTGCTCTATTAAGTATTGATGATATTTAAACATAAGGAATATATTACTCAAATATGAATTTTTGACCCGTTAAATTTGTTCTTTCATACATTGAATAATTTATATTCGTTTTTAAAAATTCAAATCTTGGTATATGCAGAAAATTTTTTACTTTTTTTTTATTGTATAGATGATATAATGATTTATTTTTTTATAGAAATAGAATCATATAAAGATGAGAGGTGAAGTATAATGATTAATAACAAATTAATATGGTAAGTTAAATATCAAATCTTATATGTTCATTTTGATTGGTCATTCTTTTTTAAAAAATTAATAATAGATTTTCGTTTTTATAATTAAATTAAATTAATTAATTGCATAAAATAGTATTTGACTTGTTTATCCTTAATGAGTTGAATTAATTTACTCTATAAAATTTTATTTCTAATGGCATTCTTAAGTAAATTCTTACAAAGGGGAAGGTTAATTAAGGGTAATCCATAAATTGTACTCCCCAAATAATAGTATAGGATGCATGTGTTCAGATCCAGGTCCATTTACATAACCCTATCATGTAATTACAAAGGCATATATATAATCCCCCTCACCAAGTATTCGTTAGCATCAATATAAATATCATATCACCTTGTTGCTTTCCAAAAATAACAAAAATGGATCATCTAATCCCTCCTCTTTCTCCAACAAATAGGTAAATAATAAACCCTTTTTAGGTTTTGTCTGCAAAGTCTCTTCCTACATAACTTTGTTACTAATTTAACTTGGTTTCATTTAAATAATAGTGATTTTTTTTTAACTTGGTTTCAATCAAATAAATAAAATAAAAAATCAACTTGGTTTCTATTACTGTTGTGATTATTGAAGATGGTGGTCGGAAGAAACAACAGCGGTGGTGACCGGAGCAAACAAAGGTATAGGCTTTGCGGTGGTGAAGAGGTTATTAGAGCTTGGACTAACTGTCGTTTTAACCGCCCGAAACGCCGAAAATGGAATCCAAGCCGCCGATTCCCTCCGCCTCACTGGCTTTAGAAACGTTCATTTTGGCTGCCTCGACATCTCCGATCCTTCTTCCATCGCGGCCTTCGCCTCCTGGTTCCGTCACAACTTCGGAGTACTCGACATTCTGGTAATCATAAACTGATATAAATGTTTTTAAAAATTATTTACAATGAATACACATTGTACATTTAACTAGACATTTAGTCCACAACTACTAAATAAAATATGACTGAACTCCAATGGATTCGTAGAAATTTGATTACTTTTTTAATTGTTGTGAGAAAAGAATTAGTGGATACTTGATAGACAAAATAAAAAGTCATGATTTTCTATTCTACACAATATTTTTTCAAATATTTATTTATTGTTCGGGACTTTTTCTTATGGAATTACTACGGCGTCGTACGTCATGCTCAGGTGAACAATGCGGCCGTTTCATTTAACGCGGTAGGCGAGAATTTAATCAATGAGCCAGAGACAATTATCAAGACCAATTTCTACGGTCCCAAGCTTTTAACCGAGGCGCTTTTGCCGTTGTTTCGGCGTTCCGTCTCCGTTAGCCGCATCCTTAACATGAGTTCAAGGCTTGGCACATTAAATGTACTGTAATCTCTTTCTCATATATACTGTCGGCAAAAGAAAAGAAAATACATTTATTTCTCATACACTATTTAAAAACATTATCTTTGCATATTCAAATATTGCGAATAATATCAGAAAGATATAATGATTTAACACCTATACTATATAGGTTGTATAAGCATTTTAATATATAAAATGTTAGTAAGGAACAATACAATTACATATATGTATCTATAATTGACTCATTTGGATTTGTTTTTTGGCATAAAGAAACTGAGAAGCCCTAGTATAAGACGAATCCTAGAGAGTGAAGACCTTACCAATGAACAAATCGATGCGACGGTGACTCAATTTCTGCAGGACGTGAAAAGCGGGACTTGGGAGAAGCAAGGATGGCCAGAGAACTGGCCAGACTACGCCATCTCAAAGATGGCCTTAAACGCGTACTCGAGGGTTTTGGCTCGACGTTACGACGGCAAAAAACTAAGTGTGAATTGTTTATGCCCTGGTTTCACTCGTACGTCTATGACCGGTGGTCAGGGGACTCACACGGCGGATGAGGCTGCTGCCACTGTAGCCAAGTTGGTTCTGATTCCTCCGGAGAAGCTGACTTCCGGAAAGTTCTATATATGCTTAGAGCCTAAGAAAATTATTGCCAAGTTGTGACTCAATTATAGCTTTCTTCACATACACGCATAATTGTTAGACAAATGATATGCTTCGTGGACCTGGGCCCATTTTGAATCAATAGTAGGCCTTGTGGCCCATTGATAAAAATAATGAAATTAGGGTTTCTTCTTCTTCCTCCGCAGCCGCTTCTGTTTCTTCTATATAAATCAGTAAAGGCTTGGATTTTTAACAATCAATCATCTACAAGTTCGATTCCAAGTCCTAGTTTCTTTTCTTGTCTTCCATGGCTTTGTAGTGTTTTTTTTTATTTAATCGTGTATGTAAGTGTTGTTTCCAATTAAATTTTAAGAACGCCAATTAGCAGAGCAATGACGTCAAAATAAAAATGGCGTAAGTTGCCTTGAAGGTTGGCAACAACAAATAGCGATTCTCCGTGCCTATCAAGTTTTCTAATCTTGATTGTTGGCCTCGAACAAGTCGCTACATTCTTTATCTAATCCAAATCCTATTTTTTTTTCTTTTAAAGCTTTCCGATGCTTTTCATCTTTTCATTGGTTTCAAAAGATCTGACTCTTTACGAATTTCAAATATATTTTCTCTCTAATCAAATCTTGTGTATAAGATTCTTTAGGGTTTCTACAGGTTTAAATTTTGTAACTTTTAAGTATCAATTATGCCAAAGAAGTTTGGCGTCAATCCTGATTAGACTAAAAGAATTTGTGATGGGTAAAGAGAAATATTTTGAAGTACAAGATTTATTGGGAAGAACTGATTGAAGGTGATTTGAGTTAATTATAGTCATTGGTTCATAAAACTTTAGATCGGCGTATCCTCATGATTCCTGAGATTCTTCTATAACCACTCAATTGAACTTTCCAATGGAGGCTAATAAACAGAGACAAAAGACATTACTGGTTACAGAGACACTTAACTTTTAAGTTTAGTAGAAGATCAAATATCAAACTGTCTGTAAAATGATATCGGAGTACTTGTACATACATCATACCCAGAAATATAGTGGCCCTTGTGTCGCTGCTACAAAACAAGTTTTCGACATAAATGTATGTACATAAGAATCAACTTTATTTGGTAAACTTAAAATTTTCAGCGTCCGTGGGAGACAAAAGAGTAGGTTAACTCCAATGTACTAGAGGAATTCACATCAAGTAGTATTTCCATTGACGTCTCAGGCCATTCTCTAATTTTCTCAGCCCTTACAATGTCAAGAAGATTATCCGGAAGCTGTGAAACTCCATTCAAAATCCGCATAACTGCACTCATAGCTGGTCTTATCGATGCAGCTTGATGCGAACACAACACACCGAGCTTTAAAACAAGCTCAAGTTGTCCCCTGTTTTCTTCTTGACGTATACTTTCTTCTGCCGCATCGAAAATTTTCCCATTTTCCCAAAGCTCTAAGATCCAGTCCACAAGATATTCTTCATTTTCTTGTGCACGTCGCTCAATCAGCCTTCTCCCACAAACGACTTCAAGCATAACTAACCCAAAGGCGTAAGCATCAGTGCTTGTGGTTGCTCTTCCTGTTCTTAGAAACTCTGGTGCGATATACCCGAATGTTCCTGCTACTTTAGATGTCACAGGATCAAATCCCTGATCATACAGCTTTGCCAATCCGAAGTCCCCGAGCCTCGCATTCATTTCCTGGTCGATTAAAACATTAGCCGGTTTGATATCTCGATGAATAATGACTTGTACCCATTCTTGATGCAGGTGTAGTAGAGCAGTTGCAACGTCTTTGATGATCTTGAAACGTTGTTCCCAAGTCAGCCGTTCTTGATTCTCATTACGGTTTAGATACTTGTCAAGGCTTCCATTAGGCATAAAGTCATAAACCAAGTAGAGATTCTCTTTATGCCTACAATACCCCAAAAGCCTGACTAAATTGGGATGTCTGAGACGCCCAATGGTCGATATCTCAGCTAGAAACTCGCTCATCCCTTGTCTTGAATCATGAGAAGTCCGTTTGACAGCGATATCTGCATTAGATCCCGGAAGTGTTCCTTTATAGACTTGACCAAATCCTCCTTTCCCAAGAAGTTGTTTCTCCTTGAAACCCTTTGTGGCATTGAAAAGCTCCTTATAAGCAAACCTATGAGGTCCATATTGAATCTCCCATTCTTCAAGAACCTCCTTAACCTTCTTATGCCTTAAATAGAAGACAAAACCGATCCAAGAGGCGACAAACGCAGCAATCACAGATACAGTTAAGCAGACCGCTAAAACCGTTTTTGTTCTATTAGACGATTTCTTTGGATATGGAGGAAGGACTGGTATTGTACCAAGGTCCAATCTCGGATACTCGATTACTCCATTAACAAACCAACCCATCAAGTAATGAATTGCTCCAACTGAACCCGTCGATGCAGTGAATCCAAGATACATTTTCTCAAGCAAATACGGGGAGAGATCTCGGTTCAAAGACAAGAGCGGTTTTCGTGGTGGAACAGGGATCTCAGCAGGGAATAAAGTAACATTGAGCTGTTTATCGGAATGACTATAAACGATCGAAAGCCTCATTACCTTTCTGCTGATCAAAGAAAGTTTTATAAAGCTTCCATCTTCATCATCATAGTAACCAGCAGAAGCAGAGGCAACAGATCTCAAACCATTAATGTTAATCCCAACATGATTATCATCAATATCTCCAAACTCTTCGTCTTTATGTATATCTAACTCGATAGCAATCACGTTATTCAAGATTTTACCGTTGTTTGTTTCGTTAAAGATTCCGAGGTATTGATCGGAGGAAGCTCCGGGAAGACCTCTTGTGGGAGAGATGACGAAAGCCATACCGTGTGAGCCTTGCTGCTTATGTTCAGGGACGATCGCAAAGAAGAAGTTGACTGAGAAAGATGATATGAGACCTGTCGATGAGTTCTTGATTTCAACGTGCTCGTTGTCGAAAGCTTGACCGAATGTGTGTTTTGTGGTGTTGGTTAAAGTGAAGTAACCGTTGAAGCCGATTCCTACAGATCCTTGTGAGACGAAGTACCCATGAGAATTGTAAAACAGAGTAAGGAACAGAACAAGAATGATTTGGCAGAGAATAAGTTCACGAGACATTGGTGCTTTTCTTTTTTGGTTTGTGTGAAAGATTTTGATCATCTCTGAATATTATCATCCATCTCTTGAGTGCTGAGACGAAACACTGAAAAGTCAAAGGTTTGACTTCATGGGCCTTTGGTCAAAATTTACAACAAGGATAGTTTGTTGATCACTAAATCTTTCTGGATCAACAGTGTGAAAGCATCAAAGCTAAAAGAAGAAAGCAAATCAATTTTCACAACTAAAGCTTTCAAATTAATTTCGTTGAACATTACGCATCAAAAGTCTTATCAACTTTTTATTCCCAAAATACTAATATATGATGATTTGAATTTAGCAAAGTAACCATTGATACCGCATACCGAATCGATCCAATTCTAATATAGTTACATTTTTTAATATAAAGTTTTATCCATATTTTCAAAATCGAAATTACATCTTTCTTTGAATATGCCATGCATTGTAGAAAAAATCTGATACAAGTAATAAATTTGTTACCAAAAGAACACTATTTGAATGGTTTTAGTTTAGTTTCAAGAATGTTGTAGTTTGGCCCAAAAGAAAAGGTTAAAGTCTGTTGCTTGGCCCAAAAGACAGATACGGGATTAACAAGCAAAAATAAGAACATCACACTGTACAATCCAAATCCTCTGTTTTTGTTGTTTACTTTTTATTATTATGTTACATCTGTAAAATTCGTAATCAAGAACACAAAAAAAAAACACTCAAAATAATCACCACTCATAAAATTGATGTAAGATAAACAAATCAAAGAAGAATCAACTGAGAAAGAAAGAAAAAAACAGTCAGGTTTTTTCGTTTCAGAAAATAAAAAATAAAAAATCACGCAAATCTGTTAAAAGCCCTCCTCCCAATTGTTGCAGGCATCGAAACCGTAGAATCAATACTCAAATTTCCAACGGATTTGAGGGTTTTGTGCTTCTCAAGCACAACAGCACCAGAAGAAGAAGAACCTGGACCCTTGTTGTTACTGTTGCTGCTCATGAACAATGACCCTTTGTTCCACTTGAACGAACCAAGAGGGAACGAACTCCGTCTCTTCTCGTTTGTGCTGACCGGTGTACGGTCCATTCTCTCCTTTGGATTACTGTTTGCTCTTAGTTTTGCTTTAGCTGAGACTGTTGGAGCCATGTAGCTTGGAGCTGAGAATGGAGGGCAGCTTGTGAGGCTATCATCATCTTTAAAAGGAGAATCTTGTGTGGCTCTTCCTCCTCCTCGTGAGTATCTTGAGACGCTGCCACTGTATGGTTGCGGAGTGTGAATGGGTCTAGATGGAGTAACGAATGTGGATTTTGATGAATTGGGTGTGGAAGTGTCGAAACTGTTGTTGAGCCTGAAATGGTTTTGGCTGCTAGATTGAGGCTGAGGGCTTGGGCTCGGTCGTGTTGGTGTTAGCCTGAATGGTTGGTTTTGGTTCTTCTGCCGGTCCACCCAGTTCCACCAAAGTGGGAACCCACTTGTTATAATGTCCTGAGCAGACTTTGGACTGTTTTTCCATAACTGCGTAGCAAACAAGCAAAGTCACAGAGTGTTGTTGGAGAAAAACCAGCAGACATTACATTGGTTTGTGGTGAGTAAGAAGAAGAAGAGATGAGTGTATACCTGGTGAGAATAAGCATAGGCCATGGAACGTTCTCTTTTGATCATTGCATCAATCTTCCTATGCAGCCTCGCATCTTTTTCTTCTTTTGTCAGCACACTATCGTCCCAATCCTCAGACTGCGAGAAAGAACAATAAATGTTAAATGGAGAGAGCTTTTTTCTTGGAAACCAAAGATTAATGAGAGCACTTACCGCAAGGCTAGAGGCTAATTTCGTGTCATCTTTGTCGTTCTTAGCTCGGTTTTCCAGCATTTGGATGCGACGTGACTGGACTTGTGTTTGGACTCGGACTAAAAGCTGCATATACTTCATAGCATTCATCGTTTGACGCTTCACGCTGTGTCCTCTCACCACTCCTTGAAGCCTGACTAGACCTTTCAAAGCTCTGAAACTCCTCCTTGCCTACAAACAAATTTACATCTCCTAAATTATGGATACTACTATCTAATTAATAGTGACAAAACAGAATCAAGAATGTTTTGCAATATTACCATGTAACCTCTAAAAGCTGCTTGAATCTTTGTTGCATAAGCATTTTTGACCAGTAGACTTGGCTCTGGTCTATGCACAAACTCACGTTGTAGCACAATCTTAGGCGAAACCGCTCGTGGAGAAGGCGGCTTTGGAGAAGGGACTCGAGGGGAAGCAACTCTTGGTGAAATGGGTTTTGGAGAAGAGACATATCTCTGAGAAGGAACTTTAGGAGAAGCAAGCCTAACAGAAGGAGATGGAACAGAGGTTGATGATGCCTTTGTTCGATCCGTGGGACTTGGTGGCCTAAAGACAAGGTTATGCTCTCGTTCAGCTTCACACAAGATCTTTTCGATACTACTAGGCTGTCCAAAAATGGGAAGAAATGAATTGGTTTCTCCATTCCTTATCTTCTTTCCAAAACCTTTCTTCTTCTTCTCTTTGTTTTCACTCTTTCTCTCTGGTTCTTGCTTTCAAAAACACAAAACCATAAAACACCAAAATGTATATACACTTCAATCTCACAAAATTCATCATTTCAGTTTATAAAACCAAATTTAAGTGTTTAAAAGCTTTCTTACGTTGTTGTTGCTTAGCTGCTTCTCTTTGGAATGTGGTGTGAAAACCCTTTTGATTGCAGAAAACCAATTTCCTTTCTTGCCCATTTCTCGAACATTACTTTCCTTTTAACTGTTCATAACAAGAAACAGAACATTAACTTTTTTTGAAGCTTTTCTTGATTCAAGAAAATGGTTATATAAACAATTATTGTAGCTTACTGAGTTTGATAAAGGTTAAGATTTGGAAAGACGGCGCAAATTAGCATAATTGCTCTGTTTTACCAAGGAGGAACAGCTTCAACCACAAAAACTTCTGCAACATATTACAAATTGAAACAGCAGTTTCAGACAAAAGAGTTCAAACAAAACAAAACTAATTCCAAAGAAGTCGAACAATCAAAGACAAGAGGAAACAGCCAGAAAAGAAAGATTTTGAAGTTGTTGAGCTTTCATGAAAAAGGAAAGTTTTTTAACTTTTAAGATATCTTATATCGAACTCCATCTTTCTAACCCAAATTAGGTAAACTGATTATATCAGATAGAAATTTACTTATGCAGATTTTGGTATTATTAACGATTTTGTTTGGAAAATTTTCCTTAAGACTATACCGAGAAAAATCTTTACCTGAAAACATCTACTCTAGAAGATAACTTAGACAAGAAAATAAGAAATAGATCATAGAAACTAACAAACACAAATTATACACAACTCGGTAGTTAGAAGCAGATATATATTTCCGAAAACTCAAAAGAACAAAATCATTGGGATAATCACAAGCAACATGAATAACTAACCTCTTGATTATGGGGTTTCTGAAAGAAGTAAAGTAACAGAGAAAAGCTGTTTCCAGAGAAAGAAATAAAAAGAAGCAACCAGAGAAGAAAGATTATTGTCTATTAATTTGCTTTCTTCTTCTTCTTCTTGTTGCTTTTCTAACACATTCTTTTTGGTTTTTGCCTTTTGGGGGTTAAATTACTTTGATTCTGGGTCTAGCTGGTATGGAAGAAATTTAAAACCTTTATCTTTTGTTTTTCTCTGACCACCTTTTTGATTAATCAAATCAAATCAATTTAATTTTGGATTGATGGTACAGAGAGAATTAGTTGGCCACTTTCTCACTCAATGTTGTTTAACTTTACTTCATTGTAAAGACAAACATTTAAGGAAACTAAAACCTAGAAACCAAACTTGATTTCAAAATTCGACCAAAAACGGTTGATGTAATCATGAATTAACCAGACTTAGAATCTAGACAGTGAAAGCGAGTAGTGATAGTAGTCTCCAGAGAACTAGAATAATCATAATCATAATTGTTAAATGTTGAGTTACACTAGTTTATATAAGTTATTTTTTATTTTTTTTGTGTACCAACATTAGTTTATATGTTAGAAATGATAAATTTGAACCAAAACGGTTAGGTTTGGTGGAGGGATTGTGTCGTAGACTTATCATGATTACGTCAGTTGATGCTATTGAAGAAGCAATAATGAAAAGTTTTTTTTTTATCGTAGACGAGGTTGATTCTTTGGTCGTCTCTGACTACCACACGCGCGTGGTTTTTTCACCTTCTAGATTTCTTATGTCAGTTAAGTCAATATTAGTCCCCCTCTTTCGTTTTTGTCTGTTTTCTTTATAAAAATCAAATTATTATCATTCATCAACGGTTATATCCACCAGCTTTGAGTTACGGCCGTATTAGTCACAAGAAATTGTGTTAACAAAAAACTTCAGTTGGTAAAAAAGACACACGCACGCGACTGATGAGGTGGTGTGTCAGCCTATGAAGAAGAAGGAATGTTGTCAGTTGTCAGTTGTCACTTTGGGTTAATTGTTTTGTTTTTGAATCTTCTTGCTTGAATTGTATTCCAAGCTCATATCATTTCATTTTTATTCTTACTCACTTTCTAACATCGACACCGTGACTTATTTTATTAGTATTACCAAATTCTGTCTATTACTGATAAAACTCTGAAACAAATATATTGAAAACATCAATGCCAAAGCTGGGTGAGTTTTTATTTTTGTAAATATATATGTTTAGTATCCCTCTTTGGCCTACGAGATTATGACACACCTTTCAATCCTCAATGATATAACTCTCTTTTCAAATAGTAATACTTAAGTACTTACCACAATAATCTTCCTACTAAACAATTCACCAAAAAAAGTCTTTCTTAACCATCTTTTTTTTTATAGAAATGGTCATTCGTTAATTTTTATAAAAACCAACTCATGGTGGTTAATTAGTTGTTGAATGATTTATCATTTTTTTCTGTAAAATGTTTTTTTTTTTTCTCTTAATGTTAAATTTTTTTAAAAAGCCCAAAAATAAGAGTTATTTACAAATTATACCGAACTCTATGCGCATTAGCGCATGAAACCATCTTTGGAATAATCTCATACTGCTTTTGGTCTTTACAATGTAGAATTGTAATTCCGTTACGTATATGAATTGGTCTTCAGTCATAAACTATTTTTTTTGTAAAGAGTATAAAGATAAGATTATACGTTAAAATACTAAATTTCAAATTCTGGAAATATTGTCTTTTAAAATACCCGTAAGTAATACGATCATCAACTAGAGATATATGGGACTTATGAATTAACTGGTAAAAAGAAATATTCAGCAGCTATATGACGAGTCAAATATAACCGTATGCTTTTCTATTAAAAGTGTGAAATATCAATATATATACTCTTAACTTTACTGTTGATTTTCGAATATACTACGATTTAAACAACAACAAAAAAAAAATCATTGAATTGTTGACTTGAAACATATACTAAAACTTTGTACATTCATATATAGAAATACAATAAATAAATATAGTTAAAAAATATTTATCCTGACCATAGTTGTAAATTGTAATGATCATCATTTTGATTTTATAATGGTGAAGTGTGTTTAGTGCATTCCGTACATTTGAATGCATTCGTGAAAAATATGAACACGTACGTCCTCTATGAACTATGATTTGTTCTGAATTTAGTCACTTAAAATACATAATTAGTTGGGGAAAAGGAACCACAACAAAGTTTCTATCTCCAAGATATTATGATATAATTTTAACAAAAAAAAAAGATATTATGATATAATTATTGAGCTATTAGTATTATATATCTTTATAACTTTAAAATATTTGTATATAGTTATTGAAATCTGGATACACAAATTATTAACATTTAACAGCGAACATGAGGAAATGCTGGAGTATAACATTAACATCACATGATGTCAGATATTTCAGAGACCTGAGGTTTTAGTGTCTTTCAAGCTAAGCTAACTAAACATGTAACATAATTATGTTTCTCTTATGTAATTACGAGGTATACATGCTTACTTTTAATTATGTGTGTGCAGTGGCGGAGATAGGGTTATAGCATGGGGTCAATTGACACCCATGGATTTTTTAAACCTAGCTAAATTTTGATTGGTAATTGTAAATTAACCCCATTACAAAATAAAAATTGACCCCATCAAATTTTAATTTAAGAGCAAACTACTAAATATATATCTATATATATATACTAAAAAAATGTTATATTAATTTATACTAAATATTAAGCTAAGGGAATATTGCAAAATCTACCACATTTCAACAAGTCGCATTCAAAATCTACCACAATCTCAAAAATCTTTCAAAATCTACCATATTCCAATAGCACATGCAGAATGTTGGACCAAAATACCCTTGAATGGGACAGAGTCTGTGTCAGGGACATAGTCTGTGTCAGAGACAGAGACAGTTTCGTCTGGTGCTTCCAAAGAAGGAGAAGGTCTACAATAAATGTTGCACGGTTATTTAAATAATATGTTATATCACGGACAGATTCAGATCGAATGAGTAATATAATTAGATCAGGGACAAATTCAGATCGAATGGGTGATATAATTAGATCGAGGACAAGTTCAGATCGAATGGGTAATAGAATTAGATCGGGACAAGTTCATATCGAATGAGTAATAGAATTAAATCGGGGACAAGTTCATATCGAATTCAGATGGAATGGGTAATAGAATTAGATCGGAGACAAGTTCAGATCGAATGAGTAAGAGAATCAGATCGAATATGTTATATCGGGGACAAGTTCAGATCGAATGAGTAAGAAAATTAGATCAAGGACAAATTCAGATCGAATGTGTAATAGATATAGATCGAGGACAAGTTCAGATCGAATGGGTAATAGAATTAGATCGGAGACAAGTTCAGATCGAATGAGTAATAGAATTAAATCTGGGACAATTTTAGATCGAATGAGTAAGAGAATTAGATCGGGGACAAGTTCATATCGAATGAGTAATAGAATGAGTAATAGTACTCGAGGACAACTGGATCTTTTTGTTATTTTGCAATAGAAGGAAAAAAATTCAATAATCCGGGTAGGTGAAGACAATAATGCTCAACTAATCTGTGGACCAAAATAGATGGTGAAAAATCTAAATAAAATTCAAAACCCTTAAATGAGAACAATTGGTGGACAAGATGTGGAGTTCACGATAATAGAGCAAGATGATGAAATCGGGGACAAGATCTAGACGCAACAGAGAATTCCCAATCGGAGACAAGATCTGGAGACAAAAACGAAAGTTAATTGTTTAGTCTCAGGAGATATAATGTTTCTTAGTTAAAATGCATGTGTTTGAAGGGAGAGAGAGATAAATAGGGAAACTAAGGTTGTAGGGAAGATAAATAGGGAGGAGAGATAAATAGGGAAGAGAAATAAATAAGGAGGAAAGATAAAAGGGAAGATAAAAATGGAGGGCAAAATTGTTACTTTACATCAAAATGTGGTATGAGTTGAAAGAAGAGAAGGAATGTGGTAGATTTTGAAAGAAATTGGGAATAAGTGGTAGATTTTGTAGTTTTTCTTAAGCTAAGAGTTAAACTTTACAAATAAATATACAAATAAATCTAAAATAAAAACATGAATGAATTCAACTTCAACCTAATAACTATATCTCTCGTTACTTTAGGATTTTTCCTATTTTCTTCTTTTTATAATCACCATTATCCATTGAAAATCATTTTAAAATAACATTTAGGTAAAACTTTATATATATTTTAATTTGAACTAAAATGTTTTGATGATTTTGCTCGTATATTAAGAAAAATCTCATCTTTTGATTTATTGACTTTTAAAACTATTATTGATTTTTTTTCTATGAATATTGTGAAAACGACTTCGTATAATCGTCTCGTTGATATCATTTCAATGATTGTTTAGTTTTTCAATTGAAAATATAAGCTAAATTGTGGCAAACGAGACAATAATAAATCGATTACAATATATAGTATAGTTGTGATGATATTTTTATTTTTTTCTAATAAAGTTGATATAATTTTGTATATACAAAAAAAAATTTGACCCTTATAAACAATTTTTCTGGCTCCGCCACTGTGCGTGTATATATGTAGATGCATGCATGCAATTATCAATATATACAATATACTCTACATCATATAGACTAGCTTACATTGACATTAAAAAAAAAATCAAATGTATTAACATTCCACATACAATGGAAAAGTAAATGATATATATTGTCTTAGTCTTAATTATTATATTTCCGATCAAGAGAGCGATTGCAGAACCAACCAGTCTTCAATCTTAAGCATCCATTATATATGAATGATACTAAACTATCAACAAAGTTAAGCAATTGAATAGTTTTAATAACCGGTATGCGTAGCAAATTAACCAAATTAAACGAGACCAAAAAGACAATAAGTAAACCATTAATTAGCTCCATCCTTCATTCAAAATTCCCAAGAAAAAAAAAAACTAAAGTAACAAAAACGGCACCGTTTAAAAGGGGGTTTTAAACGGCAGCGCATTCTGGTTAAATATCTCTGAATTAAAAAACACAATTACAAAAACCAAAAAAATCTTTCCAATGTTTTTTGTTTCTCTGTTCTTGATGGAAAAGTTTCAAAGATGACAAACTTGATGATCTTCAGCGATAACCATACGACTAAGAGGACTAGGTCCAAGCTTCTTCTTCCTCCTCATCTGATTTCTCTTCCTCACAATCTCCATTTGATCTCTCTTTCTATTCTCCATCATCGCTTCTTCTTCCGCCACCACGAACCTCCTCATCAACGCGTTCTCCCTCAAAGACTTCCCTCTAAATATCCTCCTCCCTGAATCCACACTCATCCTCGCCGCTGCCACCGCCACCGCCGTCTCCGTCACCATAGGAAGAGGCTTCGACGGAGGATAGCTTGAACTTCTTCTCGGCGGGACGTAATTTCGGAAAACGTCGTCGTATGGACCGATAGGAGCGCAGAGACAAACCCTAGTGAACGAATTCGCAGCTAGTTTCAAAGACGAGCATTTTCTCAGCTGGTGATGAATTTGGCTTTGATTCGATGACTTGTTGTTGACGCTAGGGTTTCGAGACGGACGAAGATTCTCTGGTTGTTGTGATGATGATTTAGGGATTGTTCTCCAATTCGTTGCGAATCTGGCGACCGCCATAGCTCTCTGGTACCAAGGTTTTCTGTTTGCCATTACCTTTTTTAGGTCACACTCACACATCTCTTTTCTAATGATGATGATTGACTATAAAATTAACATAAATGAATCATCACTTTTGTTCTTTACTTTACAAAGCGCGTAAGAGATTTGAAATTGGAGAAGCTAATTTGCTTACAAGTTCTAAAAATGGGGTAATTATATTCCAAGTTTGGGATTAGGATAAAGGAAACAAGAAAACTATCGTTTTCTTCTTTGACTTTAACAAGGAAACAAAAATAATAGTTTGTTTTAGGATTTTTATTTGTTTACCAATTATGGATCAGTAACTATTTTTCATTTATTTGGGACAGTTGTGTTATGACATAAAACCTTTACATAAATAAAGACTCTGAAATCTATGAATCTCATTTAAATCAATTGCATCTTTATTATATGGTACATGTCTTTTTTGTATTTGATCCGTATCTTGTAGTAGTAATATTTATGGCCGAAAAGAAGAAAAAGAAAATCAAACAATTGATAATATATTGGGCAGAACTGTTGAAATTAAGCCCAATAGGCCCAAACTAAGTTACAAAGTTTTTTTTTTTTTTTATGATTAAATTACAAAGCTATCTATTTGATCACCATTGATAACGAAGATGCATCTGGATTGATCTATCTTAATGTCTTTAGTTTTCTAAGTACATCAAATACTTATTCTTAATTATGATCAAAGAAACTGGGACTACATATATGTTTTGGAATCAAAACTTACAAAAAACATGGGATTGGAGAAACTATATTAAACTATAGACCTATAAGAATTTGACCCCTCCTAGTCCTAGTTATGTATTGCAAGACTGAGAATGTGATATGATATTTTCATTTGCTTTTAAGAGAAAACCCCAAACAGTTACATAATTATGTGAGTGTTTATTTTGAAATTTGTATTAACTAAACAAAAAAAAAAAAGTCCAAAATTGAGTAAGCAGTGATAAAAGGAGCTAGTGAGTTTAATATGCATACCTTGCAGGTGAGGCCTTTGAATCTTGCATGAAACAGAAGAAGACGAAGAGTGAGTGAATAATTTAGAGAGAGAGATAGCCAAAGGATAGAGAAGAAGCTAAGATGGAGATCTTTTTTTATCTGTTCAATGCCAATTTTAGAGAATTTGATAGAGGAGAGAGAGGGAGAGAGAGTGTGAGTTAAACAATTGACTAGCTTTTTTGTTTTCCTCTTTATTTCATTCTTTAAGATTTGCTGTTTTCTCTTCTCTCTCTTGCTTTTACAGTCATAGGAGTCTTGTAGTTGTGGAGAGAGAGAGATAAGAGATTCAAAAATTGTAAAGAGAAAGTGAAGAGAATTGGTGCTTTTAATGCAATTACCATAGTCCTCATGATCCACTTTCTATATAAGCCTTTAAGGAGTAGTATTCTCTCATCAAATTTCATATGAGCCTTGATTCACAATATTTTTACATGTTATTCATTTAATCTCAGCCGAGTGGTTGGTGTCTAATGATTTTGCTCAGTTATTAGATTAATTACAATAATGAAACTCACATTATGACTGTAGTTTGTAGAGCAATAATCCGAGTTTTACCACAAGTTCTTATCATACAAATCTATATTTTGTCACTTGATGATCTTTAACATATTCTTTTTGTAATATTATAAATTCTTATGAAATATTTGAGTTCTGCCTAGCAAATCTTTACTTGAGATCATGCCCTCATTCAATAGATTACTAATATCAAATGACTACATAGAAAATATGAGAAAAATTAAAAAGGGATTAAGTGCTGGATTAATCATGTTAACCTCATGGGACCATCTTCTTTTGAAAGATGATTATTATGGGCATGCATCATAGTTAGAGCATTTATTAGCTTTGACATATTTACTAATGTTTACACATAATGAAACCATTATCTTTATTTGGGATTATGATGTATATATGCATGTCGTCCAACAAATAATATATTTGCAAAGTCCCTTTTGTAATTTTGGTTATAATGATGTGAAAAATTCAAGCAAGAGGAGGGTGTGTGAGTTCTATCAATCACATTAACTTAACATCTCTACTCGTACTCATAGAAAATATCAAAATAGCGATTGAATTGTTAAAAAAGATAGGACAGTTATAGAGAGATCAAACAAGTCATATATATTTGAGAAATAGATAGTATATAAACAATCATGGTTCTCAATTTTAATATCGTGGGTGGTGTTATATCAAGAACAAGAACCTCCAAAAAGCTGCTACAACATTATGATTGGTCCTGTTGGTTTTGTAAATTAATTTAATTTTATTTAATGTCCAACAATTATTTAAACAAGCAACTAGTAAAGCTGAAATTTGAAGCTTTTTTCTATTATTAATCTTCTTTTTTTTCCTTTGGGATGATCAGAATCAGATTAATTTCCACTTGAAGTAGGGACTTTTTGATTATCACCCACCAAGGGCACATGATATAGGCCACCAAGGCTACACAAAGAATCCACCTTCATACTTTCGCATCTCATAAAAAATAAATATACAAATTCCAAACATTTAATTTAAATATTTGACCACAAAAACTCGTGAAACAGTAAATATGTGCTCTATATAACTATATTCATCAAATAGAATTAATGGATTCAATATCTTAGTACGTAATCGTATAATAGTGAAACGAAGATGATGATGCCCATCAAATATATTTCATTCTACTCATAAGAATTCAAGAAATTGTTGACATAAAAAGTACGAATTCAAGAATAAATCTTAACATGTTCTTCGAAGCAGACGTGGTTTCATAATTTGTAATAAAAGTACAATCTAAACTTTATTATACACAGTTTGTGTCATCTCTCCAACTTTTCATCATCATAAAACAGAAAAGAAGCTAAAGAAGAAAATGATATGACAAAACAAAACAAAACAAAGTACATGTTCTGTGAACACACAGATTCTGCAGAAATAAAGAAAAACCTAAGAGAATGTTTAGAAACAAAAGATTGAAGTAGAAATAGTCGCTCTGATTTAAGGGAGATTCAAAAAGGAAAGACTCTGATCATCAAAAGCTTACTGAGTTTTTTCATTAATCACTGGCTTTCAGGATCGCTGAGATGTTTCTTGCACCAAGAACTTGCTTTACGTTCTCCACCTCTTGTCCTTTTGTTCCTAGGAACAAGCATTTCAGAAGCTAAGCATGATCTAAGAACCGAATCTTCACGGCCTTGTAGTACCAAAGATTTCTCTTCTTGGCTATATTGTTCTGTCTCTTCAGTTTGCTGCAATGGCGGTACACTGGTTCCTTCTCCTTCCTCTGCTTTCTCAGCTTCGTCATGGCAACTAGTTTCCATCAAATCAGAATTCATTTCTTCAGCCACTCCATTTCGAATCAATATATTATCCAAAATCTGCAATTAGTTGAATCAGAAAACATGGAAGAAGATGTTGAAACATAACTAAAGTATCAAAGAGAACGAACTTACATCTTCACAAGAATCTCCAATCTGGGGATGATTTAAAGTAACATCAGCGTCGGCGAAAAGACCAACAGTACTTTCAATTATGTCAGGAATATGAAACGCATCCCCATAGCTCGAGATCACTCCTTGGGATGAGAAAACTAAATCACCAAGAACATCTGCCATATGCTGTGAAGCGTTGTAAATTGCTCCAATGGAGATCACATCTCCATTTCCTCCAGCAGAAACCGTTGGGCTAGGCGCAGAACTTGCAGCAAGAAGGCTCAGATTCTCTGAGGAAGAGAACCTTGCTGCATTCTTGGACATCACAACATCTACTTGGGTTTTCAATCTATGAACTTGCGAATGCACCAGCTCGATTTTCCAGAGAACCTCTTCTAAGACATTATCTCCTTCTCGGTGATGAAAAAGTGAGTCATCGTCATCTAAGTCTACCGGTTCCTTTGAATCACTCTGTGGATCTTTGGCATCTGCCCCAATCCCCCAAGCAACATATCAATACACCAAAACATTAACGGTCTGAAAAAAATGAGAAATTATTGCAGTTTTAGTGAACATACCACCAAAGTCATCAGCCAATCCCATTCCATCTGAGCTCAATCTCTTGGTCTCTGCAACAAAAACCGCACCAATATATGAAGGATATGCTCAAAATAAGGACAGAGTTATGGAGTTAATACTGTTACGAGGATACTAGTCTCTTACCGATATAAGAAAAGAGGTTGTGACATGCCATATATGAAGTTATATCATCTGTGCTCTCGACCTTCTTACGCTTTCTTCTCCTCTTTGCTGCTCTTTTTTTGTAACACGGATTAGAAAAAGGCAATGACTTTATCCCCTCACCACAACTTTCCAACACAGACGGATCAATATTAGCTTCAAGCTTTTCTTGATCATATGACTCAAGCTCTTTCGGATATTCCAATGCCCGAGACTCTAACTCTCTAATTCTTAACTCAACCCACTTGGATCGCCACATCAGTGGCCTGATAAATCTCCTCCAGTGATTAGTTAGCCTTTTCTTCCTAGAAAAACACACGGGAGACAAAACTAATTAGAGAAACAGTAAGAACAGTAGAAAAGAAAGAAAACGAGAAGGATTTACGCAGAAAACACACCTAAAATGAAAAATGCTGCTAAAAGAATCATAAGCAGGTCCTAGATCGGTTTCATCCCAATAATGAGATTCGACCTCAGCTTCTCCGGTGAGTCCATCAAGCAACATGTCAGCATTCTCAGATGCAGTGTCAGAAAATGAGCTTGAGTATTCAGTAGCGTTAGGGTCCTCATCAGTGGTGGATGCGTTGTTTTCATCAGATTCAACTATATCAACATCCAATTCCTCACCACCAGAAACTGAAGTCACAGTTTCCTCACTTGTATTAGCACTGGTAAGACCACATTCTTCATGATCTCCTCCAGGACTTTGCTCTTTCTTTGGCGACAACTTCTCAGCATTGAATTGTTCACTTTCTTGATTGAGCTCCATATGTGGTTCAACCACAGTCATCACAACTGATAACACACTCTTATTTCACATTGGAAACCGTAAGTTAAAACCCGGGTGATGCTCCTCGATGAAGATCCTGGGGATAAAAGACTGTGAGTACCTCTGCAACAACTTACAGCTAACGCATATAACATTCAGATTGAAAGTAGAATACATCAAGCAACATAAAAACTTAGTAGAATTCTTGAAATGTCATCACTTTCTTTTCAAACCACCCCGAACAATTCTATTATGTATAATCCAATAATTGTTCACTATTTAAATTAACTAGAAATCTGGATTTCCATTACCTAAGTATTCAAAATATTTAAATTAGACTATAAAAGAAAAAGCTGTAGGCTTCTGTTCATTTCTAAAGCAGAATTATTAAAGTAAACTCAGGAGAAGCACCAATCTAAGTCAATCCATCCTAAGTATTCCACTTGTTCGGATTTAAAGCTGCCTTTCTAACTAGCAATCTACAAAGTTCAAAACTTTAGAGCAACCGAGACAAACCCAACTTCAATTCAGAACAATTATACTCAAAGAATCTGAAGAACGGAGTTGGAGCTCACATGGCAGGTAAAAGTAAAGGTACAATATTTGCAACCAACTAAGCTTAGAAAATCTCAGATGTACCACAATCAAATTTCATTCTAAGTATTCCTATTGTTCGGATTTGAAGCTGCGTCTATCACTGGCAATATACAAAGCTCGAAACTTTTGAGCAACCGGGACAAAACTGACTTCAATCCTCAACAATTATGCTCAAAGAATCAGAATAACCAACATAGAAAGGAATATAACCTACGAACAAGAACAGAGCTGGAGCTCACATGGCAGCAACAAAGACAAAAAAAGTATTAAAAAAAGTAAAGGTAAAACATTTGTAACCATCTAAACAAACAAAGAAAATGAGTAAACTCATAAAGAATCAAAGTTAGAGCTATGCATCTATACAACAAAGAAGATAGAGAGAGGTGATGAGATTACCAGAGAGAAAGAGAGAGTAAGTGAGGTTTTGGGGTGTTTTGCGGCGAGAAGAGAGTAAGAGAAGAAGAAGAATGTGGAAAGGCAACTTAAAAAACGTCTACTGATCAAAATCTATTTATACCTACAATCAAAAAACCTAAAACGGGTCCTTCCCTCTCTATCTGTCTCCTTTGGTTTCCACGTGGCCTCTTTCCATTCGCCTTTTCTTCGATTACAACCACTTTATTTAAAAACCGGACCGAGAAATTAACTAAATTAATCTTATTATGGATCATTATCCGGTTTACTAGGTTATAGAAATCAAATCTATTGTATCCTGGATTTTTTTTACTGTTAATTAGATATGCAATAAAACTATGAATATTTATTTCTATAAATAGAGGTTTTTAGTTAAATTATCTAAAGTTTATTTTTACACATGTTTCTCTTGTTTAATTTTTTTTTTTATATAATTTTACAAATAAAAATATTGAGTCAATAGAAAAGTAAGAAATTCTAATTAGATTAAACTATTTGAGCCATATATCAATTTGATGACGG